ATAGAGTTAGCACATTTTGTATATTTGATTGTGATTTACAATAAAACATAACAAGGAATTGCATAAAGTCTACCTGAGTATAATTCAAGTTCTAACCTTTCTTGCGAGTAAACATAGACCCCAACACGACAATAGTGACATTTACAATATGAGTGCACAGGGGCACCATCATCTCCATTGAAAATTTTGCAATAAAATAATCATGCTCAAGTAGTTAAAAATCACCTCATATATCACCTTATTTGGCGAGCAGTTCCCCTAACTTGAGACCCTCTCAACATGTATCCCTCTCCCAAATCTCAAGCCTTCTATAGCTACGCCGCTGATTTAAAAACTTATTTAATCTATTTTAGAGTCTGCAATTTGTAAACATTCATAATATTTGTTGTCAATTAGTTGAGCACCCTCTGCAAATAGGGGGAGGGGGTGGGTTATATCTGAATGGGGAGAATGGGGAGGGAAAGGGATTGGTGGTTATGAATTATGAAAAATGAAAACATAGTTAAAAAAAACTGACTTGGATTGTCATCTATCTATGATAATGAAACTAATTACCTGACTTTGTAACATTATTCACTCAGGGAAAAATAATCTACTAAGCACTTTACAGCAGTTCAAAGTCTCTCCATAATTTGTTCACATTCACTGTTGATTGCCTAAGCAAAGAAACCGCCCCTACCAAGTCACAAGACCAAAGATAAAACCTGAAAAACCAACTTCTGTTGGAGCATACAGTACTATAGTATATCTCTCTGGTTGCAGACTATTCACATATAGTAACTCACTGAAAACACAGAATTTTAAGGTAAATATTTCATTCATATAATATGTTGTTTGAATAAATAACCTAATGCTTTTGAATGTTTGACAATACTGAGTAATGGAGAAATAAGTTTATTCCATGACTAAATTAAGATAATATTACATCTGAGTATTAGTACATTTGAGGAAGGTTTCAGCATATGTATAAATATACGGTATTCACCAAATTTGGGAGGGGGAAAAAAGGAAAAAAGGACTTGATAAATACATCGTGTAGCATAGCTCTCAATGAAGGTAGTCCTGTAAATAAATGAATAAAGAAATTGTGTAATAAAATGCCTCTGGCGGGACTCGAACCTGCGACCTCTCGCTGTCAAGGCGAGTGTCATAACCACTAGACCACGGAGGCTTCATGGTTGAACAGATTCAAATACCACCAGATACACTCTATTACACAATAGGTACGGCTAGAAACAAATAAGTGCATATAACATAAATCAAGGTAGCCGTTAACACTGTTAAATCATATATAAATCCTCAAATAAAGGTAAATACAGTGTTCGAAAAAAGGACTTGATAAATACATCGTGTAGCATAGCTCTCAACGAATGTAGTCCTGTAAATAAATGAATAAAGAAATTGTGTAATAACCTGTGACCTCTCGCTGTCAAGGCAAGTGTCATAACCACTAGACCACAGAGGCTTCATGGTTGAACAGATTCAAATACCACCAGATACACTCTATGTTTTTTTCCTATGGTATATCACACACACATTAATAAGAATAAGATCTCTATGGTTGTCAAAAATCCCTGATAAAAGATCATCTTTGTTTATTAATACTACTAGTAATAGTAATAATAATAATAACAATGATGATAGTAATAATTGATAATAATATTAATAGCAATAAAAAGTGAAGAAAATTGTGCTAAATGTGAAAAAAAGTTGGTGACTTGTGGATCATACTATAGTGTATATAGTTAAAGCTTAGTAACCTATAATTAGGCCTAAGTCGTCCTGGATATTAAGTAAATTCCTGATAAAAGATCATGAGAAATTTGTTGGCGTTTCATTTTGACTATAATGGTAATGTGATGATGATGAATTTCATTATATAAAAGTGTCATTTCCGACCATCTCGAGAGGTACTATTTCATCAAATGGCGTGCATTTCGATACTTGGAGAATGTATTATACTATCTTGTAATTACAGTAATAGTCAATTACGGTAGTTCACTCTGTATCAACTATATACACTTCAATCTCGACAGACTACCAAGGGATTTTGGCCTACCCTAACCATGGATGGATTAGTTTAGTTATTAAACTAAGTCCTCCATGCCCTAACTACACCGTAACTTTCATATTCCACAAGCAGTAAACACCACACCACTTTCGCGACTGGCGATTAGTGTCAAGCATACATGCATTATTCATGTTATTAGTTCACCTAAATGTGCACTATATAATTATATAATACACTAATATAATATAATTTCTACCTGAACTGTATGGGGAAAAAAGATAATGCGGCCAGGGCTCCCTTCAAGAAGAAAAACACAATTTGCCAGAAAGACAAAAATTAATATGTACTTTGCACATATTAGTAGACTCTAAAATTGAAACACTAAACAAAGTACCATCATGCCATTTATTTCAAGTTTCATGCTTGGCTACATACTATAAAGGCTAGAAAGCCAATGGCCAGGTGGTACAGACTGTGGGAAAATGTCCTGTTAAGGGGCGGACTTAGAGGAGGCCATGACCAGTGGTTTGATTATATATACAGTAGCATACATTTATATATAACTGACTATAAAGCAATTATTGTCAAGTTATTTCAGACCCTATACAAAATAGGAGATACAAGCCATTATTTTCTATAGGGTCATCAGACTATAAT